CGCTTTCTTTATTTATTAATTTCGGACGTGTAGAGTGAGTTTCACCTGTTTTATCCATTGTCGTTTCTCCGTTGTCATGCTTGCCGGTTTCGCGTCAGTTTGGGTAACACTGCCACATAGTGGTGAACTTTGGAACAGCAGCGAATGAAATACCGAATTGAGCAAAATTATGATATCGTACCGTTTGAAATATAATATATACCGGTATTTTTCTAGTACCGGTATACCGCACATCCCTACTCGTTTATAATGGGTTTTCATGTTTTTGAATCATCGCTCCGGCCTGACAGGGCATCATCACAATATGGTGAGGGGCGTAACATTTCCGTCACACGCTTGAGGTATTCGGCCAATCACAACGCACTAAATAGCTGGCCAATCAGAGCACACCTCGCTTTTCAGACCGATGAGCTTTGTAAAAATCGACGCGTTTCAGAAAGGCGGGGCATAGAGGAGAAACAATGTACAGTATGTGGAAAATAATGTGTTTTTTGAACCTTAAACCGCATAAACACATTTCATTACACCAAATACACAAAATAATGTTCTTTTTAGCAGCATCATATGACCCCTTTAACATGTCACGCTGTAAAAGGCACATTAGCAGCAATGAGTGCTTAAATGTGAGTCATTTTCAGCTAGGGCTGTGTGATTAATCGCATGCGATTGTCATGCGCATCTCGTCAGAAAAGCCAGTTCTGTGATTAGTAGTAGGCCTAAATCTCCATCACCTGCTTTCAGATGGAGCGGCATTTACTACACAGAGCCGTAGTTCACTGACAATTAGGCAATATCGCGTTCATGATCACAGATAGAATCGCCTGCGATAATGAACACGATATTGCTTAATTGTCAGTGAACTATGGCTCTGTGGAGTGAATGCCGCTCCATCTGGTAAAGCCTGACGGAGCATCTGATGAAACACATTCCAGAAGACGGAGATTCTCAAAGTTTACGTTCCCATCTTCATAACGTGTTTTAGTATGCAGCCGGTGAAAGGAAGACCAAACGACAGATATAGTACACCCAACAGCTGAAGTTGTAGATGCAGCCTTTGTACACTGTTTGCGATGGGAACCCCAATGTATATAACGAGGCCAGTGAGCAATTCCAAGCGCAACACATTGATTGTAGAGTCCGAAAGGCAGTTTTGACCGGGCTTTAGAATTTAGATGATGCCAATCCAGAGACGAATAAAACACCACATTATAATTCCAGAAGCCGGAAGGCAATAAAGGAACCTGGAACACCGCGCAAAAATCAGTAAAAGAACCCTTGTGCCGTCATGACATAACTCATAGTGACCGACAAATAGGGAACCATACTCGAGCCCCGGCAAGGACAGGAGGCCTTTCTGTGTGGAGTTTGCATGTTCTCCCTGTGTCTGCGTGGGTTTATGCCGGGTGCTCCGGTTTCCTCCCACAGCCCAAAGACATGCAGGTTAGGTTAATTGAACATTCTAAATTGTCCCCGGACGTGTGTGTGTAAAGATAAGACTTGTGTATGGATTAACTGGTTCTCGCCATGAATATAGCCATAGATGCTGGATTGGCGTTAAGAAAGAAATAAGCAAACAAACATGACACTCGGTAGAAGTAAAATTACACAGACACAACATTAACAGGTTGATTAACATTTCCTCATGCTCAAAAATCATTAACAAAACACAAAAGTTCAAACAAGTTTATTTGTAAATTATTGTGTTACAATGTAACCGCTATTTCACCAGTCTTTGCAAAAATTTTGGAAGATTTTGATTCAGCACCTTATTGGTGTATTAGCCACATTTAGCTGCTGTGAGATGCTACGACACATATGATTTCTGGAACTATTCAAGAGCTGAGATTCTTTTTGAGGATGTAACTACAGGTGTAGTTGAATTAAAAGTAAAAAAAAAAAATTAATTAAAAGAGCTGCAGTGTTGAAGAGTTTTCTTCAATTTATTAGGTTCAGGGCTCAGTGACAGAACTACTGAGGCTGGAATAGTTTAAGGAATTGACAGGGGTAGCATTTGCGCTAAATATATATCAGATACAGCAGTAGAGATTTTGCATTGGTTACATGACATCTATGTCAACTCAAGAATGGAAAAGTCAAAATAACTTTGACTTATGGGGCATTATTCACCGCAACCCACACTACGAATCAAGGCCTTTGCCTTGTTTATACAGTTCAGACAGTCTTTTTGGCTTTGCAAAGTGAGTGTTTGTAATGTTTGAAGTTAACAATTCACTGTCTACATTTTGTAAATACATTGTATTGCGTTACATTATTGTCTATTGAGTAGCAGGACGTATGACAAGTGGTCCATGATGTTAAAATTGCCAAACATCATTTTGGGGGAATGAAGTTATTTTTATCTGAAATAATTCCAGATGGTCAAGACGGTACAGAGCTAATGAAGGCAAGTAGGGGCTGACAATTAGGCAATATCGCGTTCATGATCACAGATAGAATCGCCTGCGATAATGAACACGATATTGCTTAATTGT